TATATATATATATATATTATATATATTATATATATATATATATATATATATACATATATATATATATATATTATATATATATATATATTATATATTATACATATATATATTATATATATATATATATATATATATATATATATATATTAATATATATATATATATATATATATATATATATATATATATATATATATATATATATATATATATATATATTACATATATATATATACATATATATATATATATATATACATATATATATATATATATACATATATATATATATACATATACATATACATACATATATATATACATACATATATATATATACATATATACACACACACACACACACACACACAACACACACACACACACACACACACACACACACACACACACACACACACACACACACACACACACACACACACACACACACACACACACACACACACACACACACACACACACACACACACACACACATATATATTATTAATATATTTATTATTTATATTTTTATTTATCTTTTTTTTTTTTCAGAGCAAGTAACATCAAAAGGGATCAAGACACTTACGACAGAGCAAATAGAGAGTAAACTTGAATTTCTTCTCAAAGATTTACTGTAAACATATGAATAAATATATTATGTTTATTATTAATATTGTTTTAAAAATTGGAGTAACTACATTCATAAAATATAAAGAAAAATTGTGAAGGGAATCTACACACTTTAGATTAAAAAATCAGCTACTCATAACATTTTTCCATATGCTGTTCTCTAACTCTTCATGCAGCAAATACAAGGATGCCTACAGCTTAATAGTATATCAGTGATGTAATGGTTACAGAAAAAATGTCCAGACTTTTGGATGTTATAACCTTCAACCAGTGTTCTTGATCACATATATTTTCTTTTTGCTTTGTCCAGTTTACAGTCACTTTTTCAGAGAAAGTGATGATAAGTCTTACATATGTAGTTGTTCTTTATGAATGGTTCAAAATCCAAAGGTTCCATAAACTATTTTCAATAATGGATCCATTATATACAAAAAATGATTAAATTTTTTTTTACTGTAATCAAAAATTAACTGATAATTGCAATGCATTTGCTGTAGAAATTTTCCCAAAATACCCAAGCATAAATGTCAGCTAGAACATGTTTTTTTATCATTGATTGTGCACACCAGGATGACCAGATTTCTTGGTTGAGAGCTTTCTAGTCAACAGAAATCAGATTAACAACTTTTACTCCTAATAAAGTGAAGCTGTTCTTTAGGGTGACTTTTTAAAAATCAAACAAAAAAATACTTTCATTCAAATGTGATACATACACATTTTGGAGCTTTTTTATGTGTTAATTTAAGCTATTTTCACTGACAGTCTTATTGCAATACACTCTAAATTGCCTGTAAGAACATTCCTTCCAAAGATGATAAATTTATTTGTAAATGAAAATTATTCCAAAAAGAAACATGTCAAAACTTTCAGTCCATCATTTCAACTTTATGGGGCCTTAGTTTTTATTTCTCATCCTTTGTCTCTTTATTTCTATGTCAGAGAAGGGCTGAAGCTTATCTTGATATATATTATATTCCAAGCCGTGTTATTTCTACAGTGTGTGTGTGTGTGTGTGTGTGTGTGTGTGTGTGTGTGTGTGTGTGTGTGTGTGTGTGTGTGTGTGTGTGTGTGTGTGTGTGTGTGTGTGTGTGTGTGTGTGTGTGTGTGTGTGTGTGTGTGTGTGTGTCTGTGTGTGTGTGTTTTCTGTGTGTTTTCTGTGTGTTTTTTTCTGTGTGTTTTTTCTGTGTTTTTTTCTGTGTGTTTATGTCATATGAGATGTTGCAGAGCATAGGTCATTGTAGGATCAGTCTTAGATCACATTTTTTTTATCGTCAATATAAATATTAACTTGTGCCAACTTTGGAAATGATATTCGCTTTTTCCGTTTCCTATCTCTTTTATTTTTTTGTTCCAACAAGGTCCACAATTATATATTGCTCTGAAATTAATGTAGTATCTGTGATATTTCCAAGAACTTGCTCTTGATAGTGGATTAGCAATCAAACAGAAATGTCTGGAAAGTCCCACACCAATACTGAAATATGTACTACTAAATAAGGGAAAATCTACTGGGAACCAGTAACAATCAGACAATTCATCTATTGCTGATCAAAATATCAGAAGCAGCATATGACCTTTTCATTTATTTAGCAGCACCATTTGACTGAAATAGACATCAAGAGTAAAATGTATTAAAATAAAATGGTTAAAATTAAATTAGAGCTGTTAGTGTCTGGAATACTGGCGAGCTTTCCTTACTGCACACACCCATTACACACCAAGTGAATACCTGTGTTGTGCAATATATGGAATTATAAAAATATATATATATATATGCATAAAACTAGTTGTTCCTGTTACTTACATAATTCCTCTTCATAGGAATGGAGGAGTGCGAGACCGAACTTCGGCCTCTCCTCAACTTTCGAGGACATTTTCTCTAAACAAACAAACAGTGCAATTCCTTTGCTGACGCCTACAACTGAGAGGGCAGCTTCAACTGATATTGGTGTAATTAAATAACCCGTATGTCAAGCATAATATAAATAAAAATTTCTAAGATTTTGGTGCAGAAATGAATGGATTTAATATTTTAAAACAGCTTAAATCCTTGGACTCCGCCAGGGACCAACAGCCCTAGGAACCCGATTATTTACTTGCCCCCCCCCACCTCCTACTTCAAAATACCTTCCAACGCCTATGCTGCTTTAGGTAAAATCAAACCGTTCGGATAGTGGAAGCAGGTTTACACCATCATAGACTTGTGTGTCACCCAGCATGACCTTCGTTAGGCTACTCGATGACCTAAGACAATGTGGTGACCTTCGCATCATGTCCCACATCATACATGGCGAGCTACTTATTACTTTTAATGTGTGTGTGTGTGTGTGTGTGTGTGTGTGTGTGTGTGTGCGTGTGTGCGTGTGCGTGTGCGTGTGTGCGTGTGCGTGCGTGCGTGTGCGTGCATCTGTGTTTGCACGTGGTTCGCATATATACCTTGGTGAGCCCCCATAGATGTACCTATAACATTTTCTTTCTTATCCGCAAATAAATGTATGGTTAGTAAGTTTCAGAAGCACTTTCCGGCTGCCCTAACATAACACAGCAACAGGTATCGGGAATCAGATTTTAAAATGATATGGCGATATGTAAAAGACTTGGGTGGCCTATCAGTGTTACCAAATCACCCTCGGATATCAAATAAAAAAAATCAGTAACCAAAAAAATAAAGTGACAAGTGAGTACGTACATCAGCTGTATTTCATACATATAACATAAAAGAATACTGTCCATATAAGTAGGTAATGAGTCGAAGCTAACAGTAATGAGCAGCACCAAGCACGGGGTTTCTCGCGACGACGAATCTGGCAACAGCGCCGCCAGCCCACATCCACATCCTGGCATCTTAACAGTGAGTTCCCGGACGTCAACCATTCACAGCTGATAAACTCCAGTCATGTCAACACGTCGGGATCTTGACACCTTTCTCCTCCTTGGGAGTCACGTGTCGTTTCCCCTTTCTTGGAATCATGAGGGCCAGAGGGCTTAATTTGGTTGAAATCGTTCCACGGGGATGGGCGTTGAAGAGGCAAAATGGCGTGGTGTTCGTTTCGTGGTTTCAGCTGGAGATTTAGGTCTTGACTGAGACTTGCATGCCATTTCTGCCTAATGTCATGAGGGCTCACAGGGTCTGAGTTCTCATGTTTTTGGTTGGAGGCGATGGGTTGTGTTGATGCACTAAATATAAGTGTATTTTGTTTTGAAAGATGTATTCTTTTTAAGTTTGATCATTATCTTTAAAAATAAAAGTGATGTAGACCTACCAGGATCTTCATGTTAGTCTGAATTTTAAGGGAAACTACTGAAGATTTACAATAGAAGTGTTGGTAAATACCGCGTTATGAACACTTTCTACTGGCAACCATATTTTAGTATCACGGAAGGATTAAATATAAATGGAAAGCAAGTAGTGTATCATCAGCTTTTCATACTAAGTCTTCACACTTGATAGTTGAAAGTAATAAGAAATTACCTGGCAATTACAATGAATATTGCTGCAGTGGTTTAGTTTACTTTAACATGATTTCCATATCTCGAGGCTAGGCCAAGGCATGATAAACAGTTGTTACTACTTGATGATTTGTATTAAAAAGAAACAATTACAAATATACATAAGTATTAAATTATTGAAAAAAGAAAAAAATATTTGGATGTTTCTTCAAATACGTGAGATATCTTAATATCAGTTTGCAACCAAAATACATAGAAAATTTATTTCTAATGATTGATATTTTTGTTTTTAGTTATTGGCATAAGTTTATACATTGTAAAGAAATAAAAAGGTTTGAATTTAATTTAACAAGATTAGTTTTGATAATGAAATATGTGGATGATGTTCAGAAGACGCTTGCACATCCTCTGTTGTCTGAGTCAGTATGACCCCTGCATATGCCAGTGCTCTGGCAAATACCAATAAAATTTTTTTTTTTTTTTTTTTTTTTTTTTTTAAGCTACATCTTGAAAACCTCCCTGGTATTCACCATCCAATAAGAAAAACAGTTCAACTGTATCTTGTTTTTGAAGGCACTGTGGATGTTCTCAAAATGATTACTGTAGTTCATAATTTAGACATGCAAAAATTAGATTTTTCATATAACAAATATAATTGTCTTAGGTTTCCTACATAGTAGTATAACTTTCAGTTTGGAGATTGAATTTGTGTTGGAAATAACCTATAAAGTATTAAGAAAAATATATGCCATACTGCTAGGAGAATGAGGATAGGGAAACAAATATTACATAATTATTGGCTACACATCTATTAAACTTGCTCATGCCTCTTCATAATTCCAAAATATATACATAAGGTCTATTTTAGATTTATAAATAGGTATACAACATGAACTAAATGATATAAAGTGCTGTGTATGTCCAATGCCTTTTTATGTCATATGTTAGAATGTAGTATATGTAACTGTTTTCATGGAAATATAAGAGAATAGTCAAGTTTTACCTATTTAAACTCTATATTATTATTTCATGTTCAGTATGATATTCACAGAAAGTAATGGAAACAGTAGAAGCAGTGGCCAGTAGCGAAGATGGGCAGACTGAAGCAAAGAGAATTCGTCTGTTAGTGGCACCAGATGCTGGAGAAGGTCAATGGCCTATGTTCACGTAGATTTCTTAGGTATCAGTGACAGAGAGCAAATGTTCTATATAATGATTCATGAAATTCACACTACACATATTGAATACAGAAAATGGTGAATTTAGTTTTCCATTAATTAACAGCTTCAAAGTGTGAGCAACTAGATGGTGGATCCACTGAACAGACAACTAGTATCTTCTTGTACAGTGCTGATGGAAATCTTGGTAAGTTTGAAACCATTTTTTGGTATTTTTAGTAGACTGAGGTTAGACTTGTGAATTTTATATGATACATTTGTCCTTCACTGACTTTATTCAAAACTTCTCCTTTCTCTTCTTTCAGTTCCTGCTGAGATTGTTGTTGACAGTTTGAATGATAACATCATAGCTGTCCCGGTAGAAAATAGTGTACTGAAGAAGGAGAAGGTAACAAGAGTGTTGGAGGCACCCAAAATTCTCAGAACCACAGAAATTCAAGGATTAGGGCCCAAAAAGACTACAAAAAGCCAAAATATTACATTGTTACAGTCTCGGCCTCAATCATCAAACACTCGGACCAAGTGTGTCATTCCCTCAATATTGCAAGCCAAACCCAAGCATCCATTGCAAAACACAGTCACTAAAAATATTGTCATTGCATCACATACTCAAAACAAAATACCATCAAAGCCAGAGCCCATCAGTACAAAGATCCTGATAACCTCGGATGGACAGGCAAAGCCCCAGCCAATTCTGAGTACAGCAACCCTCAAGATGCCTTCACCTGTGGATTTGCATGTCAAGGCACAACTTTCTGATTTTATTGATGATCGCTTGTCCTTGCTTAGCGATGTGTCAGAGAAGAGTGGAGGTCAAGGGTTAGTGAAATATATAATTTTTATTGATTCTCATTTTGTTGTTTAATTTCAAGCTATTGAATTAATTTGGTGATAAGCTTTTGCTATTGAAAACTATGATAGAAGTACTATCAAATTCTGTGTATGTACATATACTATTCATTTTTCTGATGACAGAAATTCAATTTAAAACCAATAGTAAATTTTTAAAATTTAAGAAAGCTGTGAGAAGTTTACCATAGGTCTTGAATTAAATTTCTGGAAGGAAAATAGACCTACCTTTTAGATATGTCTTCCCTGAAAATTAGTTTGCAGCATTAAGTGAATTTCTGTTATGTACGTACTGAAAATATTCATTTGTTCTCATTCACTGAAGAGGTGGAGGTGCCTGTCAGACAGTGGTAATGCGTGCCAACAGTCTGGGGGAGCTCGAACTGGACCCAATGTTTGTCACTGGTGAGGGACTCATCGAGCCTGAAGGGGAGGAAGTGAGGCTTGCAACAGCCTCTGACCTGAGCCCAGCAGACCGTCTGAACTGCAGCATATTGGTAATTCAGTCCTATGATATATGGAGGGAACATATCCTTTTCTATGTGGAATAACAAGGTTTTGTAGAAAAGGAAAGACTATGCTTTCTGTAAGATTATGTCTTTGCACTGTCTATCAATAATCATATACTTTTTTATTTGTTCTTAAATGATTTTCGATTTTATTTAGTAAAAGTTTCTTTTTAGGCTGGAGTAAATAAAACAGAAGATGTGAATATTGCTGAAGAAGTGCAGGTTGACTTACAGCCTTCTGCAGCCAGAGTCAAGGTAATATGTGTGTGTGCGCGTGTGTGTGTGTGTGTGTGTGTGTGTGTGTGTGTGTGTGTGTGTGTGTGTGTGTGTGTGTGTGTGTGTGTGTGTGGTGTGTGTGTGTGTGTGTAATCCCTAAAGTCCTATCTACCACATGCTTGGCAAAATCCAAAATGTATCCATAGTCCTGTCCATCCCAGTCGTGGGATGCCTGTCAAAAAGTGGCAGAATTTTTTCTATGATTCCTCATTATAATTGATACGTACATTATTTATCAGTGAAGTATAAAGGTGTTAGTGCAGCTGTTGTAGGTTTTATATTTTTATATTAAGTAACATCTTTAATTTCTGTTAGGGATGGAATTGTCATAGATGAAAAGTGTCTTAGATTTCATCATTTTCTTGATTCTGTGCAATGTTTGCCATGTTGGTGATGTATGACATATGCAGAAAAAATACCTTTAGGTGTTGTTTCAATTTTTAGTACACTTATTATAATGATTGTATATTTCTAGGGTAGCAGTGGCAATGTCAACCAAAACTGGTTCACATCAAGAGAGGATAAGCAAATGTTACGGTGGAGAGGCCATGCTTGGAGACAAGGAATGTGGTCTAAGGAGGAGACTGACATGCTTCAGCAGAATATTGAAAAGTACTGCTCTGATCGTGGACTCTCTGATCCAGCCTCAGTCATTTTCAAGATGTCCAAAGAAGAGCGCAGTGGATTCTACCGGGTTATTGCCCAAGGCCTTAATAGACCACTCTTTTCTGTGTATAGGAGAGTCATTAGGTTAGTATGATACCTAAAAAAAGCCTCAGCTGTAGAATGACACTGAAAACATTAGCATAGTGTTGAGAAATTAATTTTAAATCCTAAAGATGATAAATATGAAGGCATTGGTATTTGATTTCAGGCT